ACACTTTCTTACATATTTTATTCACAAACACATATAAATATGTATACATATCCATAATTATGTGCACACACTCTACATACACATGTATATGTCTGTGTGTGTATATAACACAAATGGTGTCCAACAAATCACCTCATTAGCTGTTCTACAGCCAAAGCATGTCAGCAAAAAACCCTTCCCAGTACCACAGTCCTGTGGCGCCAGCAACTGTGAGAACAAGCCATGGCTTAGATGGAAATGTTGTCCCAAGTAATTGGATAATCTCTTCTAAAGAGAGTCTGAATTATTATTTTTTTTGTCCCCACATTCTTATTGTTTCAAATGTAAAATAAGATGTTGTCATCTTCCAGGCATTCCAAAAAAACAACAAGAAAAACCCATCAACGTTACAAAGGAATAAATATTGGGACAGTACCAGGCTGAGTTGCTGGCAGTCAGTATGATGGGTGTGTTTCTGGAAGGGAAAGAAACAGGCCAGCTTTTCCTCCACATAACCACAGTCATTGTCTATCGTAAGAGGCTAATTGATTGATAAACTGTTAGAAACATTTATTTTCTTCTTTTTGGTAAAAGCTGTGATCTGCTACCAATTTGTCATCTTGTTCTTTTAGCTCTTCCCCTAAAAACAAACAATCACAAAACCCCATTTTTATAATTGAGATTGCCCATGAGAGCCGGTCATTGTTTTGAAGCTTTCAACAAAAAGTTAAGATTAATGGTGTGCATTCCCAGATGTTACTCTTTCTAAGTTCATTTATCCCAGAATAAAGACACTTGTTTCTAAAAATACATGGTAAAAAGCTGTCTCATAAAACAGCATCAAAGCTTACTTGGTTTTGTTGGTATTTAATTTTTCATTACTCTATCAAAGTTTTGCCCACAGATCTCTCTGTAATCACTCAGATTTGCAACAAGCCATTCTTTCAGTAACACTGGCATTAGACTTACACTAGCCTTCCTTTGGGGGCTTGTTTTCATTTACCACACTTGTACTTCCCATCCTGAATCACAGCGGTCATTTAAAAGCTGATGGTGAAGTTAGCTACTTCGCTTTTTTACACAGCACGGCGCTGTTTTGCCGCAAAGCATCAATCTTCCATCGGTAGCGTCTCATGTCACCAGGAACTGCTAAGAATTTTTTTCTTCCAAATGGCATCAATGGCAAGTTTATTATTTTGTCACTGGTGCTATGCACACAAATGTATTAGAAACTTCACAGATTTGCTGAAACAATTCTTAGAAATGCATTGCAGAGCTGTTAGAAGATGCAATGTGGGGTAATTAGGGGATTCGTTCTTTCCACAGTTATGAGAAATTCCCTGAAAAGCCTAAATAGCATCTTTTTTTCCAAGGACGTACTTTATCAGAGTGTTATGCTGATCATCTCAGCCCCAGACTCAAGTTAAAGAGCCCCCAGAACTATTTCCCCCTTCATATGTTTGCAAAATTTGTGCAATTATTTATACAGCGTGCTGGTTTTTCCTCAAAGAGAAATTCCTCAGGACCCTATTTTTAACAACAATGGAATATCATCAGGCCAGCTTTTGAGAAATGATAGTAAAACATTATATGATAGTAAAACATTATAGTCACTGATAAAGTTACAAGTGCCTCTGACTCCCGGGCGTGTCTGGGACAAGTGCTGGGAGAGATTGAGGATGGGTAAGATTCCTGCCCCAGCACATGAAAGAGTCCCTGCAGTGGTCTAAGAGCACATCCAAATAATTGCTCTGGGGACAAAACTGGTGGTCAGAGTCTTGGGTAATGATCGTAACCGTTGAAAATAACTGTAAGTAAGTGGTATTTGGAGCTCTTTGCACCCTTTTTTCCTCATATTTCTGTCTTATGAGGCTCTGGGATTTAAAGAGAAGACTAAAATGAAATTAGCAGATTTATTGGCTAAATATTGTTTTTCTTACCTAACTCAAAAAGCCAACTGGGTATGACTGAATAAGAACTGTGAGCCTTACCATTACAGGTGTAGATGTGGATTATTTTAAATAGTGAAAGTGCTGTGAAATCTCTGTAGGAAGCTACTAAGGCATATCTTTCCTTTACTGTCTTGACATTCCCACCCTAAGGTTGAAAAGATTATCTGAGAACTTCTGAAGCAACAAAGAAGTAAAAAAATAATCTGAGTTGCCTGTGGTATCCTTCACACCTTTTATTCCTATTCATAGCAAAGGAAAAATATCCTTACTTTGGTCTTTAATAATAGCAGTCATGAACCAGAAGTTTGGCTCCAAACTGTTTCTAATTATTAAGACAAGTTGCCTGCAGATTAGCAGGATGGTACTGATAAAGTCTTACTCAGAGAGGTGCAAGCTTTTCCCAGTTGCGTTCTGAGATTTTTTGAAGGGAAAGGGATGAAGATGGAGGTTCGTTGTTGCACTTCAGCAAGTGTCCAGACATAAATGAAATTATTTCTGACTTGAATGTGAATAAGGATCATGTGGAGTATGTCAGAATGGCATCCACACATAAGCAAAATCTCCTGGTTTCAGATTTTGTTTCAGGCTCACAGTCCAATCCAGGTTTACTCAGGAGCCCCAAAACTGCAAAATTTCAAGTGAACGTAGGTCAGATTTCAAGTTTACCTGGATTCTCAGAAGGGATTTGTGATTTCACACTGAAAGTGCACAAAATTCTGTGGCTGCTTCTGCAAAGGTCCAAAGGTCCAGAAACAAAGAAAATATATCCTAGTTTCCAGAGTTTTGTTCTAACCTTAAGTTTCAGTTAGTTTCAAATTCAGAATGTCTAATTTATACAAATAGCCGATGATCTCAGATGCACCCAAATCACTAAGTAATACATACTGTACAACTTTGCATATTCATTTCATGGGAATGTATGTCATAACACCAACATTATTTCTAAACATGACCCCCAAACCATCTTTTATATGAGCACATTCCTCAGGATTTGATGGATTGTGCTTAAAAATAAAAACAAAAAGCTACACCAAATCCTTTCAATCATTCTTAGCTTTTGAAAGCGATACGATGTATTAATGTTTACAATGAATATATATGGGTATAAATAACTACTGAAAAATGCAAACAACAAAAAAGTGGGTAAATTCCAAAATACTATTTATAAAAAAGTGTATTTGGGGAAACAAAAAAAAAACAAACCCTACATTGTCAGTATTTACAAGCTTTTTTATTCCTGTCTCAAAAACAAGAAAGTGTGTGTTATCATTTGGTTTTGAAAGAACATTTGTAATAAATTAAGTTTTTAGAAATGTTAAAAGAAATGCATTTGTATGAACACTGCTACCAGAAATATCTGTAAAAACACACACTTCTTTGGTTTGCTTATGTCCCCCTGCTTATGAAATTCTGATGAAGAGTAAAAATATAATTTGCTTAATAAGAATCAGCTATGTGGTCTAGTGGTTACTGGGCTATATTTAGAACTGGGGGACCTGGGATCAGTGCCTGGCTCAGATACTGAGCCTCCTCCTGTTCTTGGGCAAGGAACTTCACTGTTCCCTGTCTGTGCATCAGCTCTTGCTTTCTTGTCCCTCCTTCACATCTAGACTGTTACATGTTCAAAACAGGATATGCAACAGCATCTCCGTGAGGGTGGCCACCATGGAGGGTTGCCAGTTTAAGCAGGGGTGATAACACATCTAGCAGTAATAAATGCTCCCTTGCAAGTCTAACGTGGTTTCCAACTTCTTTTGCATCCAAACAATGCATGACGCCGAGGTGAAGCACCCAGACTAAGAGAAGTGATCAGACCTAGAGCTGGTCTTCCAAGCTGCTGGTCTTCCACCCGTGGCAGCAAGATTTTGAAAGAACGATTGTGCCTCTCTTAAGGATGCTTTTCTGTCTAGCTTTTCAGTCAGCTGTCTCCTTCACATCTGGAGACCTCCGTATCAACATCATCCACTTATTGATCCTGTCTCTGCACTTGAGATTATGCCCTGGTCTCTTTCAGTGTGCTGAATTTATATAGTAAATTCATCTCAGTGGGTAACTGCCCATACACCACCCTCAATTTCAGTGCACAGACAACTGTAATCCCCAGGAGGTTTTGTTTGACTGAGTGTCAATAAGCCAAATACAGGCAGTAAGATAATTATACTGCTTCTGTCACCACCAATTCAACCATCTCTGCCCACTTCAGCGTGTAGGGACACTAGTGCTCAGTGTAGGGACAGAAAGCACACACTGTTTTAGAGGAGAAAATTTCAGTCTAATTTTGGGAGCTAGGTGAGGAGGAGCATTATATTGGAGTCTCCTACAACACTGGAGGGTAGAAGCAGCATTTTTTACCTGGGGGGATACACTCTGAAGGGTTTAGTAAAATGTCTCCTAAGTAGGTATATATTATGCTGAAAGATTTGTTATACTTTTTAAAGGGCAAGCCTTGAGAGCTATGCAGATTCAGTGGATGTAAATCAGCATAGCTCCATGATGTTTATTGTTTCCATTGTAAACATCTCAGTCATGGTTGTAGACATTAAACTGTTTTTACTTCCAAAGTGACACTTGTGCCGCCGTTTGTAGCCCACCAGTGAGAAACGGACAGTTGTGCATTTGCTGTATTTCATTAGAGCTGTGGTCAAAGATGTGTTTTGGTTTTGGATGGAATAAATAGCTGCAAGTGCTGTGGGAGTTCAGCAATGCAGACACTCAGCCTTGTCCCATCACAAGCCCTGACATCTCTTGCTAGATTTTTGCAAAGGAGATGAAAAGCAAAGATTTATCGTTAGGCTGAACAGCTCCAACAAAGTCCTCTCTGTTATCAGTGGGACTGGAAATAAGTCTTAGGGAGCTGAAACATCTAAGGGATTATCTATAATACATGGCCAGCTCTGAATGAAAAGGAACAGCAACAAAACATAAACAATAGACGCCATCAGGTAACTCGATGTGGGTGTGGGATAACAGCAGAGTAAGTTCTCAGGGAATGCCTCCTGCCGCCAAGCCAGCCTCCCACCCCGTCCTCCAGCACACACGTTTCCCCATCCCTCGTCCTTTCTGGAATACCTTTCTTCCAGCCTCATTGTTGTGCAAGTTCATCAGCCTCCGTGCATTCTTTTTGATTTCTCGGGCATCAACAAACCTCCGGGAGAACTCAATGCCGTATCTGATATCCGCAGAGCAGCCTCCCCACTTCCAGCCCTCCTCCTGGTTGTAGTAGCCCTGTTTCTCTCGGTCACAGCCACAATTGCTGAGGTTGCCCTGGCTGCAGGCGGCCGTGACAGCGTGTGCAACCCCGGCAGCAGTAATGGCATAGGTGAACGCAGCTTCCCTGCTTCCTGTGGAGAGAAGCCAAAAGCTGATGGGTTGGCAGAAAAGCAGCACTTACTAAAGAAAGTACACACAGCATCTACGGCAACAGAGTCAGGCAGCAATGTGAGGAGGGCATTACTACTAAGCGTGTATTTCTCATTCTTACAGAATTAAGTATGAATTTAAAATGTTTTCCTCAACTGGGGCATATTGCCCCAGGTAAGCACCAGCCATATGATAGTCCCACCTAACCCACTTCACCAGAGGGGAATTTGGCAATGAGTCTGGACAGTGGTGAGAGGAGGCACCGTGATTTGTTTATACAATGTCTAGTCAGGTTTGCAAGCTGAACTTTATCTGTTTCAGATGAATAATAAGCGACTCACTGGCAGTAACGCTCACTGGAAAACAGTAGTTATCTCTAACCACTGACACTGCATGGAAAAAGAAAAGCACTCAGACAACAAAAAATACCAGACCCTTTCAGATGTGCAAGAGGGCTAGGACACAAATGGGGAAGATTAATAATCCACCTTTATAGATGCTCCAGTAGTGTCCATTGGTGATGCTGAGTGTAAAGAGTTGCAAGATAGGCCTATAGAGATAAGAGCTGGGTAGGTTTTACTTTCTTTCAAGGTAAGGTAGAGCTACCCCTTTCCCTTGCTGACTTTTCTTGTTTATTAGTTTTGCTGTAACCGCCCTTTTCCACTCTCTCTCAAACCTCTGCATTACCTTGGTTATTGTGCATACAAAGGGTATAGAAGTGCTGTGGCAGCATTAGTTCCACTCCGAAACAACTGAGGTACTGTCATGGAAGCACAGTCTTGTTTAGAAAAATGTCCTTTTAGAAAAAAGTACTTTTTGTTTTCTTATGATGCCGCTTGTTGCCAAGGTTCATCATTCTCAATTCCATATTATAGCTGTTGATACTGGGTATATTAAGAGAGGCAAACAAATTCCCTTTCTTTACTAGACACTGTTTGGCTCACTTGTCTGTGGGATGAACATAAGCAAGAAGGTACAGAGGTAGAACAATCAAAAGGGAAGCTACAGCCCGTTCATGCTGTCATGTGAGACCACATTCTGTCACTGACTTAATGTAGGGCTGGATCATGGTCCTGGGTGTTTTGCTGTTCTTATTTATAACATTTCCCTACAAGTTCCCTTCTCAGTGCTATCCTCATTTTCTTCTGTGTGTTTATCGGGTGACAAACAGACAATCTTGTAATACTGCAGCCAAATAATAACTGTAATGAATTTGCAGAAAGTTGCTGAAATGCATTAATGACCACACAAAAAGCTTTAACATCATTAATGGATTACGGAAAGAAAAAAAAAAAAGAACAAATTTTCCAGAGGAAAACAAAACAAAACAAAATAAAACAACTTAGATGCTATTTTTAATTGTTTTATTTTAGGATTCACAGATATCATAACTATTCTGGGTCCACCAGTGCACAGTGTGGGGGGTTTTCTATTTTATATTTTTTATTTTCATAGACAGCTTCCTGAAAGCTTACACTGCTGCCGGATATGAGAAAGATCCTACAAGAAACAACCATAAACTTGTTTTTAGCACCATTTTCTTGTTTCTCCAAAGGAATAAAAAAGAAAAGGTAAGAAAAAAATGAAAGTGTGCTATGCTCTTCGGGTACCAAGAAGGTTAAACTGACTTGTGTATTATTTGAGTACATCGTGCAATAGAAGGACTGACTTTGCTTTCAGACACGGAAGTGTTTTGTTGGGGTGTACTATGTGTGTAGTCTGGTTCAGTGGTTCCCAAACCGTGGTCCGCAGAACACTGGTGGTCCAGGAGGCCACGGTAAAGGGTTCACAGCTAATCCACAGAGCCATATTAAACACTGTTTTTAATAGTGTTTTCAATTAAAAGTTTGATGATAACGATGCCTGGTGGTCTGCAAGAAATTCTGAGGGTTGATTGCAATCCAAAAAAGTTTGGGAACCTCTCTTCTAGTTCCTAGTGTGTGCTCTAAAACTACATATCAATATTCACTCCTCTCTTCTTCACCCACCAGCTCAAGTCAAAGCCAAGACCCATGTTTTAAAATGTATCCTGTTGAGTTGCAGGATTTCTTTCTTCATCTCCCTTCAAATAAATGTGTTCTTATTCTATAAATTAAAATATTGGAAATACGAGATATAATAAAAGCTACATATATAGATACATTTTCCTTCCTCTTCAGAATGAGAGTAAATGAGAGTGCAAAATCAGCCCCAGGAAAATTTTTGAGTTCACACACCTTCGAAACACATGTATAAACGCTTATAAACAAGCAGAAACATATTCCTGTCAGGGACCATAGCAGTTGTGAGCTACAGTTCAGTAGATATACTCAGAGATTAACCAGAGAGAGGTTGCTTACGTTTCATGTTTAAGCTCAATGTATTTCACATGTATCCTAAGTAGAAGGTAAGCCATTTTATTATGGCCACCGTGTCTGTGACCTGTCCATGAGTTTTCACATGGTGCTTCCCTTTATCAGTTTTGTAAAACTAACGAATATCCGGCCTTCATCTGCCTTTCGCTCCCCCTCATTCCCATTGTTACCTTCAGGAACAGAGGAAAGTGTTTTTCCTTCACCTACTTGAGAGTATAGCAGTGATGGAATTATGTCAAGTCATGGGATAATACCAAATGGAAACCACATTGGCTCTCTGAAGAGATTACTCTTCTGTTTCAGTGAGCTCTGAAATAAGAAGGGCTCAGAAGTAAGATCTGGCTTGAAAATCGGATTCCTTTTGCAAGTTAAGTTGTCCTGCTAAGAATTAAGTTTTTTGGGGTTTAGGTGTTTTTTAACCAGAGAATGTTCCAAAACTTCCCTTGAACTTCAGTGTAAGCATTACCTCAGCAGTTCTTTAAAGTCCTAGGATCAGTAGAGTCTATCAGAAAATGCTGATGGGGGAGGGAGGGGAACCTCTGTGCTCAAATAATGTGTCTGCTGTACACAAAGCTTTCCATTAGCATGTCATCACTTGGAATCAGTTCTAAGCAAGCCTTTGTTAGACAGCTAAAAATATTTAAGTAATGTTTGCTGTGATACCTGAATGGAGAACAATAATCTCATTTTATGAAATTTTCTGAAATTTCAAAAATATTCTTGTTCTGCAATGCAACAGAGACAAGTCTTTCCAAAAATATTCATGAAATGGAGGAAGATTATAAATAGTAAATGATTTGGGATTTGGCCCAACTTTGAAGCTAGATTTTTCTTTTTCCAGTGAATATCCTGGTCACCTTGTTATTTGGCATTATATATGCTTACTATCTGTGTCTCAGAAGAAAAATTCTTTGACTTTTTAATGTTTTAAATGTTTTAATGTTTTCTGTCATGTAGACCAGAATAATTCTGTCAAGATTTTATTTTGGTAGAAAAAACACTTTTTTGTGTGACCCTTGGATTCATCCATTTCCCTCTTAGAAATGCGTGCTTTGGTATCAAAGACAGTTTTGGTTTAATTCCTAAAACATAGAATTAATGTTTTCATGAGTAACATGAATGTTCCTCTGTCTGAGCTAATAACTGTCTGATGTGATAACTGTCTGATCTAATAACTCCAATAGGAGATTACCACCAGTACTAACTGAAATTAAGCTTTTTGTCTTTGGTGAAGGTGCTGAAGGTCACTTCTTGCAATCTGCAGGCCATGAGAGAAGTCTTGCCTGTGCTCTACTGGTCTGAGTTACTGCCGTCTGCTTGAGTTCATTTGTGTTCATTTGTGTTCTGAGGTCTGCATTTTAAAAATGCTCTAATAACTGACAATGCAGGCAGTTGCTGCTCAGACATATACTGGACCATTTCTTCCTAATATGAGTGATTTCTGGCAGATAAGGTGAGAGGAGTCTATTTATCCATTGCTGGAGTTGTGGAGCAGCCTATACTTTACTCCTAATTTAGATTTCATCTCTGAGTAAGTTTTAGACTGCTAATTGAGCACTAAACTTCATATGGTCTGATGTGGAAATTATTACAAGTTCTGTAATTGCTGTAGTTTACTACATTCTAGCATACACATATTCAGCAGCGTATTTTCAGCATGTAACCACAGTCAGCTGAGACTCATATGCTAAATATATATTTTGATCATTCAACTGTGAGTGCAGGGTTCAAGATTTTACTGTTCTGTAGTTATTAGCAAGACATGTATTTTTCTGAGTAACTAGATGAGAATATTACTATTCCACACATCATTCTGAAATGTCTTATGTCAGCAGCTAGATGAATAAGAGTGCCACTGTCAGCCATTAGAACTGTAATGTATCTTTAAGTATTAAACTATAGAATATACAGCATTTAGCCAGTAATTTGCTAAATCTGGGATCAACAATGATAGAGAAAAATACAGTATGCTGCTGTTAAACAAAACAAATTTCTCATGTACTTACACCATCCATAGACACCAGATTGATTACCTGACACAATATAATATAGGTCAGTGGTAAGAAAAAATGAACCACAGCAGAAATCTGATTTTTTTGCCAAACCTATCCTTTTCAACACGTCTTCTTTTGCAGGTGAAAGCTGAGAGCATATTGAGTCATTTTATTTTTTAATGGGCAAAAGACAATAGATACATCTAGATGAGTAAACTAAAACTCAGACAACAGCACTCCAAGTAGGGCTGGATGAAGACTTTTACAGACACGTTTAGTTCCTTTGTAATTTTGTATTTTATTCAACACACTCATTAGCAATTCTCAAGGAAAATAGTACAGGCTCTTCTCTTTGGGTCCAATCCAAGGGTAATACAAGTCAGTGAGAGTTTTCTCACTGTCTGGAGCAGATCCTTTCTCTATTTGCATTTGTAGTATAATTAATTTGGGGTTTCTTGGTTCATAATCTAAAAGCAGGGATTGGTTTAATTTATCCATATCTGTAATTTACTAAACCCAGTGCTGCATATCTGCACTGTAGAGCACCAAAATCACTTTGTACAAGCAGAAAAAAACACCATAGAAAAGCAGGGCTGGCAGGAACCTCAGGAGCGTCTCTAGTAGTTCATCCCT